ACATCTTATAATCTTGTAAGGTTTACAAGTGTTTAAAACAGCTGAGCACATCCCCCTTTTAACAGCGTAATTGTTGTATAAGCATTCATCGGTCTTTAATCCCATAAATGAAACATTACTAAGCTCTTCCCAAAAAAGAAAATTAAAAACAATCCACTGGACTTTGTTTCCAAGTTTGAAGATGTTTCTCTTCCATCCAGGAAGCTTTTTTAATTCAAAATGTCAGAAATAGCATTTAGTTCCAGGTTTTATCCAGCAGCCCAACAAAGCCTTGTTTTTGTTTAGAAAACATACCGATAAAAACGGATGAACGGGTCCACCCCTTTGGAATGGGGGTTGTTTGGTTTCTTTGTTAGCCTGCAATACCCCATACCTGTCTATGTCTCTGAAAGGGGGGGGTCGTTAGAGGGAATTGTTGGCCCGGCTGAATAGGCGAGGTCCTGCACCCTCCTGCGCTGGGGATGGGGATGTGATGATAGAGGAAAAGGATTAACTCAATCGCTGAGTTGTCGATTTCTGAAACCTGAAACCTGAGTCCAGCCCTTCTGTTTAAGGTTAGTTTTCCTTTCTTAACAGAGATGGCTTCCTTCACGCCCCTTTCAAACCACATGCTTTACTTAGAAAGGTATGGGGCTTTGCAGGCTAATAAAGAAGCCAAACGACCCCCATTCCAAAGGGGTGCACTTGTTCGTCCGTTTCTATTTGTATGTTTCCAAAACAAAACCAAAACCTGGTTGGTCTACTCTATAAAACCTTAAACTCAACCCTATTTCTGACATTTTGAATTCATAAAGCTTCCTAGATGGAAAGAGAAACATCTCTAAACTTGTAAGCAAAGTCCAGTGGATTGTTTTTAATTTTCTTTTTGGAATGACTCTGACCTGGATGATTGAGAAGCTTAACCAGCATGAGTAAGTTCTGCAGTAGCGGTAGCAGCAGACTGTGGCAGCCATCGTTCTTTTCATATGACTTAGATTTTCTATATTAAAATGACTGCAGCATCCTAAGTGATTGTTTCTTTGATGCTGGGACTACTTTGAGGCAAAGGGATGATAGCTCTGTTATTTTCTCTGGAAACAACCATCGTAAACACAAAAAGGGTAGAAGATTCAAGCACATCTGAGTGTGTCCGTGTTTTTTTTTTTTACAGAAATCTGCTATATAGATTTTGCATAAACGTTTTTCTGTAACATAAATATTCTTTACACCAATGAAGCTTTTAGAAAGGGTGAACATGCCCTGATCTCAATAAGCTGTAAACAAATTGAAGACATGGTTTGCAAATCCTTCCTCATCTATATAAATACAGCTGCATCTACAGCTTTCACCACCAGATGGCAGTATGATGCCATTAAAGCAAATATTCTGCTCCACAACAAGTTACCCAGAGTAATCACAGTTATATCTGTGTTCCCACTGACCTGCCATTTGTCTTCTTGACATTGCTCTTCCTCTCGTCCTCATCCTCACAGTCAGACAAAAAGTCAAAACTGCCCAAAGCTGATTCCACTGAGAAGCTGACCAAGCTGGCTCTGCGGCTGTGACTGCCCCCCTACACACACACACACACACACACACACACACACACACACACACACAGAGAGCCAGGGTCAGGGCACAGGAAGCCATGTTTGTTCTTCCACACAGCATCCAGTAATTCCAGTATTCTTTAACAGCACAGTGATGCATGATGCAGGAGGAAATGCAAGATGATTTCTAGCTGTTGTTTCTAAACCTCATTTGGAGGCCTCTTTACCTCTGATTATACAACCTGCAATGAAAATGTTCTGCAAAAACCCTTTTAAACCGCTTATGCGATACCATTTGGGGTAAAGTGTGAGAAACTAACAGGGGGTGTCTGGTTTGGGGACCAGCAGATTTCTTCTTTGTATTTTGTGGATAACTTGGATTGTTGGCTCCCTGCTGCTAAGGTCCCGGGGCCAGGGATGGAGATCAGGTACTTAAATCTGAGTCCTGTTCTGTACCATAAAATGGTGGATTTCCCTCTTCATGCTGAGGAGGTGGGCTTTCTGCATCAATTGGAGGAGGTTGAGTATCCCAGGCTTCTGTCTTTGAGATTGTGGTGAAGTGACCAGTCGGTCTACGTTCCCAACCTAAACTAGCTGAACCATGAAATCTGGGTCATAACCGAGAGAATGAAATCCTAGATAGACACAGCAGGGTGGCTGGGCTCTACATAAGAGAGAGGGTGAGGAGCTCTGGCATCCAGGAGAGGCAAGGAGAAGAGACAGACATGTGTTCCTGATGCCCCCTGGACGCCTCCCTCTGAGGTGTTTCAGACACGTCCCACCAGGAGAGAGGACCAGGGAATGGGCCAGGACACCATGGACGGCCGTGTCTCTCTGCTGGACCTGAAACGCTTTAGGCTTCCAGCAGAGGAGGATGGGAGGGGAATTTATTTCATATATTAATTTATCCTATTTACTCACTCAGTCTGTTTCACCTGCAAGGCCACAGAATTATCCTGTGAGACCAGACATAGCTTCTTCCCATAACAAACCAGATTCTTTCTCCAGGTTTATTCATAACATGTTACTGTTTAACCAAAGTGTCTGTCATTTGTTTTGACTCTGACTAATTTTCATTATTGTAAGCTAGGGGGAACGAACGCTGCTCAGGCAGAACAGGGCTGTTTACCGTGCAGTAAGGGCCGTATGATGAACTGTTCTCTCTTTGCAAAGAGACGAAAATATAGTGCAGACTAGCCTGTTAGCTAGATAGTACCAGATAATCCTGCGAAATGGCGTTACAGAGGAACAGCAGACTTTTTGAGTTTTAATGAACTGTGGTTCTCATGCTGGAACTCATTACAGGAACACATGCGCTTCAATGTGTGTAGACAGAGTTAGGATCCAAACCAGGAGAGAAAATGTGAAATGCAGGGTAAGTACCTGCCTGTAAGTACGTGCCTGGAACACCTCACCAGGGAGGCGTCCAGGAGGCATCCTAACCAGATGCCCGAGCCACCTCAACTGGTTCCTCTCGACGTGGAGGAGCAGCGGCTCTACTCCGAGTCCCTCCCGGATGACCGAGCTTCTCACCCTATCTGTATCACCAGAATCTTAAAAGTTAACATGTGGCTCCTGATCATTGGTCTGCAATTTGGTCCAGAGCAGCAGACTGGGACAGGTGGCTTTCTGAAGCAGTTGAAAAAGTTCCCACCACTAATAAAGTGACCAGAGCGAATCTGTGTCCTATCTGATAGTAGCCGACCGAGTCAGTAAAGTTTGTTTGAATGAGTAAATAATGAAATCTTCTCTTCACTGTTTTATTACATTTATATTTTCAACATTAAGCTCAGCAACATTGAACCATTGTCCTCTTTGAAAGAGGTGGAAAGCTGCTTCCGGTTTCATTTTGCTGTCATAACAGCAGCAGCAGGGGGACCACATGAGAAAAGGCTTCATTTGATCCAAAGTTCAAGTTTCTGATCCAACATAAACTAGTTTATCTACCCTGAACAGAAGCTCCTAAAAAAGCAAGGTTTAAGGGATTTATTTTACTTATGGAAACAGAAACAAAGCATCTTATTTCTTATTTGGCTTCAGGGCAGATAAAAGTCCCTCAGCTTCTCCTTGGTGTTCTTAGTTCTGAGCAGGAAGTAAAATAAAAGATAAAAAAGAGGCTGTAAATCACTGCCCCTATCTGAGACGACAGAAAATAAAACGGATTATACGATAATGTCAGAATCGGAAATCGTTCAGAAGGAGATTATCCCAGAACAACCTTCCTCCACGGAAGCATCCTGGTTCCTCCATATTTACACAAAACCTGATAATGTTATTTAATGATTGTTTTTTTAAATCTAGTTTTCATTTAAAACAACCTTATGAAACTATTTGGTGATAATAAAGTTGAGACTGTCATAGAATTTAACATATACAGTAATTTTCATTAAATTTAAAAAACAAAATTTAAAACATTACCACCCTCTAAATCCTACGGCATAGTATTAGGGCCAGACTAGAGATTGATTTATTTTTATTTTAAAATACGAGAATTAAGTCATAACATTGTGAGAATAATGTTCTAACATTATAAAGTCATAATATTAGGGGAATAAAGTCATTAAATTATGAGAATAAAGTGTTAAAATTATGTCATTCCGTATCTGATAGAAAGCTTCCAGTTCACAGTCGTTTACAAAATCATTTCATAGCTCTGATACTAATAGTAATGTGATGCTAAAATACTTCATATTTCCTTATTCATGAGATCGATGCTGTGATGGTCACATGGTCAGTAACCCCACACAACACCACTTTTTCATAAGTTTTTAAATCACAGTAGCATAAATATATTGGTTTGTTTATTTTGACAATATTGAAGACAATAGTTCCAATTGTAGCTCGCACATTTGGTTAACTTTTGTTTATTTAATTTTGTCAAATGCTTAATATATTTTGTGCTTTCTTTTCTGGTGCTGTGGGAGTGCAACCAACTGGGAGAATGTGGCTGACATGATCATGGACTGATTGGGTGGTACCATCTGGAGTTCCACTATGGGGGAAGACCATGGACTCCATGAAATATGTTGCATAATTTCTTCTTCTTACTTTTGTGATTTGCTCATTTTGTTAATTTGTATATTGATTGTTATTTAAGTTTAATCCTTAAGCTAACTGTTTAGTTATTTTTTGTTAATTTGTTGTAGATGTTCTTCCTACCTCTTCCTCAGTGTGTCAGTCTGGTCTGATCAGCCAGTATTGAAGCCCCCTTTGTTTGCTGTGTGTCAGGTCATTTTTTTGTTTGTTCAGTTAGTTTGAGGTTTCATATTTTTGAACTTAAAATTTTTTGCCCTTAGTTAATTTCTTCATTTGACCTCTTTAAGGGCCCTAAAATTTTTGTTTGGATTATTGTTACTTTGGGGAAATAAAACCCACTTTTTTGACCATCACCACTGTGTCCTCATGCTTGGTTGGCTCGGTCCCTCACAGATGCCAAAGTATAACTTAACAAGATGCTCCATATTCCTTATTTTAGGGAAAAGTTGTCATAAAATACAACTTTATTCTCATAGTATTATGACTTTCTAATGTTAGAACATTATTATCATAATTCGTATCAAACATTTAAAAAACATATGTTAAAAATATCTTAAAGCAAAAATGGGCTCACTTAAGTTCCCAGAGGATTATTATTTACTTGAAAAAACTTGGCTTGATTGCCATAAATTTGGCAGATTTGTGTCAAGATTCTAAGCTGAATTACAAGCTTTAAGGAAAGATAATATGGAGAATTTAAGACCAACCTGGAATAGAACTCTAAAAAAGCACAATTGATTCAGAAGCATGAGAGAAAAATTTCACTCTGCCTTCTAGAATCTCAGTATTTAAACATTATAAAGAAATGCAATATATTTTACATAATGTATACATATCCCCAAGTACAAGTACAGGCCAGGAAGTTCTCCAAATTGGGAATAGAATTCAATGTTTATGGGAGTGTAAAATTATAGAGGAATTTTCCCTCACCAAGTTCTGTGCCTCCTTGGGTTCATACCTGGGCATCTGGATATTAACAAAGAGAAAATGTGCAACTCCTATTGATGTTGGCCAGAAAATCGATAATGCTTAAATGAGTTAATTGTTATGCCCTTCAATTCAGCTATGGAAAAGCTTACTTTCTGAATTTATTGTATTAGAAAGATGAAGATGCTGTCTGAATGGGAAATTCTACACTTTAAAAAAAGATGGCAACGTACTCTGGAATACTTCCAAATTTCAAGATGAAAAGACCAGTAATGTGAATCTGAGTGATATATGTTCAAGTTTATGTATAAATTGCTCATTTTCTCCAATGCCTCCAGTTTTGATTTGTATCAGTGCTTTTTATGTTTTGTCCTGTTTTTTTTTTCCTTTTTTTCCCCCTCGTTCTTTCTTTCTTTGTATGAATGTTCAAAATACCTAATAAACATAATATTAAAACAAATAATAATAAAATAAAAAAATCTCTAGCCTGGCCCTAATACTCTGTCGTAAAGTTCAGCAGAAAATTTTAAGCATATTGTCCATCCATTTTCTTCCTCTTTATCTCTTCAGTCTAAGCAGAGATGCAACCCCAACACCAGCTGCCCCCTTGGTGCCTCTGATCAGCTTAGCAACCAGCCACCCTGCTAAATCAGATACCCAAACACTTAAGGATGCTATCTAGCTGTAGCTCCTTTAGCTCACAGAGTGGTAGCCAGGCTGTAACTCTCCAATCAGCCAGTCCGTCCCAAACTCTGCCGGCTCTGAGGAAGGTTTTTAAGCCAAAGTCAAAGTATAAGACCAGCTATGGAGTTATAGCGATGCCCCGGCAGCTGTGTAGGCTATTAGCATCCTCAGATACAAACTCAGCCAGTCGTTTCCATCCTGGCCTGCAGTGGTTACGGTTGGCCGGGACCGAAGCTGCTGCAGCTGGTTGTGCAGCGAGCACCGTCCATTTCAAATTTAAACTTCCTATGCTTTGTCTATGTCGAGGTGTTCAAAGGAACATTGGACTACCATGGAGAAACTAACTATGCACAACTGCTTACAGAAGTTCTTGCTCTAATAATGCATTCAGACCACATTCTGTTCCAAACATGCTGGTTTTCCATCTCACCTTCTGTTATTCTGTTTTTTCATAATTCTGTACTAAAATCCAAGAAGCTTTGAGCGTTTAGTCAAATAGTTTAATCCTTGCCACCCAGAAAAAAATTTATTGAAAAGACCTTTGAAAAGACATTGAACCCCCAGTTTTCAACATCTATTAATGAACTGAAGTGGGACCAAATCAGACTGACGAAACAGCCCAATTTTCAACAACTGTTTCTGGATTCAATCCAGACTGTGACGGACCAACCAGATTTAGCCTAAAAACCAATGTGTAAATGACGTCTGGTCTTTGGGGCGTTTCTTTTAAATAAAAAGCTGAAACAAACTAGACTTCTGGCTAAAGGCGGTTTAATCTCTACAAGCTTGCAAAAAAAGTAAAAGAAAAACAAAAACAATCCACTGGACTTTATTTCCCAGTGTGAAGACGTTTCTCTTCGATCCAGGAACATTTTTCTGTTCAAAATGTCAGAAATAACGTTGAGTTCCAGGTTTTATCCAGTCACCTAACAAAGCCTTGTTTTTGTTTAGAAAACATGCAAATAGAAACGGATGAACGGGTCCGTTGCATTGTAGGTTTTTGAAAGCTGCTATCATCGCAACCCCCAACTCTAAAGACTCTCTTTTAGAGACGTAGACGGGTATCGTTTATTGCAGGCTACCAAAGAAGCCAAACGATCCCCATTCCAAAGGGGTAGACCCGTTCATCCGTTTGATTTGCATGTTTTATAAATAAAAACAAGGCTTTGTTGGGCCAAAACCCGGAACTCAATGCTATTTCTGACATTTTGAATTTAAAAACCTTTCTGGATGGGAAGAGAAACGTCTTCAAACTGGGAAACAAAGTCCAGGGGATTGTTTTTACCTTTTTTGGAATGACTCTGACCTGGCTGAGAATCTTCACCAGCATACTCTACAAGCATGTTCTTGTTGCCCAGTCTTACCTTCAGGGTTACCTGCAGCAGCCTCAGGTTGTCTTCCAGACCTTGCAGCTCAGGAAACTGTCCTCTATAATCATCCAGAGTTGTAAGCAGAATTTCCAGAGAGTCTTCCAGCTCGCTGTCGACCACACCAAGAGGTCCTTGTCCCACACTTTCAACCAGCACCTTCTGGGCTCTGTAGGTCCCATTTCTGCTGCCTGTGTCTGTAAGGGAGTCCTCTAAGTCCTCGTATATCGTCTTTGGCTCAAACAGAGAATCCTGTTCATCTCTCTCAGTCTGGGAAGAGAAGGAATAGTCGTGTGGATAACCGAGTAGCTCTGCAGTAGGACTGGCTGCTGGGCTTCTCTCCACCAAGGAGACGCTGGGTGACATCTCAGGGCGTGTGAGAGTAGGATTCTCTGTCTCAGACGCTCTGCTGGGAACCTCTATGTCACTGATGGAGATACCAGAGACCTGAGAGGTTTTATCTGCAGAGTCGCCGACTGATGAAGCCACAAATCCATCGGTGCTGCTCTCGCTAATGTGACTCAGAGAGCGACCGTAAGGCTGTCCATGGTCTGAGATGGGGCTGATGGTTCCCACTGAATCCAGCTCCTCATTATGGTGCAGCCCTATTTGTTCCTCCTCATTGTTCCTGCAATGATCAGTTTATATAGTTAGGCAAAGATCTCTGGCTGCTGGATCATGGTGACAATCATGGTGATCCACAGATATGAGGGTTAAAAATGAGACAAACAGCCCCCCAAAACCTCCCAAACATGCCTGGAGCTCTCGGCTGGATGTGAGACTTGGACCCTGCAAGTCTCTAAAGCAGGACTACCGTTAGGAATGGAGGATGAAGCAGGTTGGGAGCGAGGTTTAGGCTGTGGAGAAGAAAAAGATAAGGGTCCAATGGTGGAGCTCCCAGAGCCGTCCTAGGCAAACAGACAGACACACAGGATTACCACTCAGATGACTGAAGCATTTAGAAATCAGTTATTGAATAGAGCTGTCCCTGAAGGGCCATCACCAGCAGGAAACTTATAAATCTGATCCTTTTTTTTGTCAGTGAACTCATCATAACTAAATGCTAGCAGGTAGCAAGAATGCTGCATGGTGTATATGTGGTAACAAAGCTACTTCCTCCATCAGTGAGCTGTTCTCATCATTCAGAAGAAGCAAAGATGTGAAGGAAGCAGGAGTATCAGCAACGTATTTGATGTTTGTTTTGAGTGAGAGCAAGACTTCCTACAGAGAACAGGAAGGCTAAACAGTAAAGAGGCCCCGAGTTATGCCGTGAGCCAGCTTGACCTGGATATGGTTGGGAAAAACAAAGGCCAATGTTTACGGTCAGTAATGATGACTAACAGAGACTATTCTCAAACAGACAGTGCTCCAACACCATCATCACTTAGCCTTTGTTTTTACAGGTTCAACAGCTTCTTCTGTCTCATATACATCTTATACAAGAAGGTTAGAAACAAAAATTTGAGCTTAAATCTTTTGATATTGCAGAGAACTCAGAACCAGCTAAAACCAGCATCAGCAGGTCAGCGCAGTAGATACACCGGAGAAAAGTAATGCGACCCGACTTTAAACCCAAAGAAAACTTAACAAGGTAGAGATGCTGAAAGCTTAACATGGCATGGAGGACCACAGTGTTACCATGTGAGGCGGAGAGACAGGTTCCCGTGGCGCGGACGGCCGACGGCCGTAGGAGTCATCGGAAGAGTCTGTGGAGCTAGACCAGGGAGGTTCCCTCTCCTCGTCATCATGGCTGCGGTCAGAGATCTGAAACGGAGCAACAGAGACAAAGATCGGTCTGATGTTTCAGCAGTAAGCTCCAGCTCATCTTCCTACCTCCTTCTGTCACCAGGAAACATAACCAGGATCTCTGGGCAAAGGTCCTCCCTGTCATGGCTTTGGTTTTGTTAAAATATTATTTTGAGTTCTTGTATTCTAGATATTTAATAATTAATAACAATTTTTAATTGTGTTTGAGTTCTTAGATATTTCATGTTTGCCCTCTTGTGTCAGTCTCCTTTCCCTCGCTCCCTTCTAGCCTCTGTTCACACCTGCTCCCAATCTGCTTATTAGCCTGGTCTTTGTTTCTCTCTGCGATATAATCTTCTCCTGTGCAGTCACTCTTTACTGGTTTGTCGTCATTGCTTTGTCTTCTTCTTCTTGTGAGTATTCTTGGTTTTCAGGATTTTTGTGAATTTATGTTTTTTGATTTTTTCTTTTTTTGTACTTTTGGTAAATTAAATATTCAAGTAACCACCTCAAGCTCTTGTGTCTGCATTTGGGTCCTGTCATAACTCCGTCCCCACAGTGACACTCCCAAAACTGGAAACCAGACATTTCCCAAAATTCAGGGAACTCTTTGGTTTCTGAGAAAGGTTTGACTGGTGAACCTGAGGTTTGTAATGTTCGTATCGACAGGTTCAGCCTCAGACAGGTTCAGCCTCATACCAGACTGTCTTACCTGGTATGTTACACTACAAAAACTTTACATCTAGGTAAGTCATTTTTTCTTAAAATAAGTTAATTTTTTTCTTGGATTGAGGAAGTGTGACAATTGCATTGTTTTATTTCAAGTGCATATTATTTTAGGAGTAAAAAAACTCATTAGCAAATCATCTTATTTACCTGCTCAAATTCAGGCCAAATACCTTTAATTTAAGACAGTATTTAATTATTTCTATTTTTTTCATTGTATGAATTTTATGGAAGCAAAAAATCTGCTATTTTTTGTACACCAAATTTTAAACATGAATTTGTTTAGTACTGAATTCCTTACATTGAATTTCTATGTGGGGAAAACTCAGCTGTAAAAAATTCAGCTGGTGAACTCAAGCAAAAGCAATCTACAGTCGATGCAGCCGAGCAGCTTCTAACCAATGAAATTACCTCATTTTGTCAGTAAAAAAAAAAGGGAGTTTGCCGCCGGCCGCTTCTTCTGGATCAAACCAAGAGCCTTGGCAGACGGGGGTGCCGCACTATCTGTGGCTCAGTTATTTCACCCAGACCCATTAGATGGAAAACTCTGATGGACGTCTATTATTCGCTACCTGATGTTTTGTAATCAAAAACTCCTCATTCAGTTTCATTCAGCTATGCCCAACTGTTGTGTCACGTGACCAAATGAGCTCATTTCATTGGCGAGAAACTGCTCAGCTGCATCAAGTGTAGATTGCTTTGGCTTGAGTTCACCAAAAGGTCACACATTTGCAGCTGAATTCTGTGCAGATGAATTTTGTGCAGGGACATTTTTACCAGATATAAATTCAGTGTAAGGAATTCAATATGTAAAACAATTCATTGTTTAAAATTCAGAGTACAAAGAAAGACAGATTCCATGAGACTGTTTTTCTTCCATAGAATTCTCTCTGTAAAATAGAAACAAAATCACTACAGTCTGTTTCTTCATGCTCTTTGTGATGAAGATCAGGCAGAGTGTTTTGTGTAGAAGACGTATTGGATTCAAAGACTGAACTGAAGGGGGATGAAGGAGCGTTGGACCATCACCAACCGAACCCAGAGTCACCAAACTGGACAGACTTTCGGGCCGATTCAGCACAGACAGAGCTGAAGATCTAAGAGCCTCCCATCATCAGAGGAAACTTCCTGGGTAAACAGAGAGTCTGGGCCAGTGCTGCTGCTCTGGGTGGTCGGATCTGGCCTGTCTGGCGATGCTCTCTCCATCCCATCCTGTGATGAGGCTGATTGCTGGAACCAGACCTCATGAATTCCTCCAAACTCTCAGCCAGAAACCAGACAGGTTTTAGAAATGCTAACTATGCCATACACCATTTGATCAGCTGAAGGAAAGCTGAACTTTTGTTTTCCAAACGTTTCATTTGGTCTGTGTTCTGATTAATCATATAAATTGAACAGAAAGAGAAGACATCTGTCAATGTGAACCTTCTGACTTTCCAGCTGAGTGCTTGCCTCCTGTGACTGCAGCTAAAACACCAAAACCTAAATCCTAAACACATTTAAACACATTTCCCTTCCACTAAATTCACTAAAATAAGTGTTTCTACTGGCTAGAAGGAGATGGAGGTTTCTACAGAACCGGGGGGAATCAAACAAGCGGCTGGGTCATTTTTTAGGCTTTCATGCCATGAAGGGTTTGGAACGGGTTTGGAAGATTTAACATTGACAGGGTTTTGTCCTAGAAGAAGCTGTTAGCTTAGCCGTTTCCTGGAAGAGGTCGACATCACTTTTCAAACATTTATGTTCTGTTTGCTTAAACCCCAGTCAGCCTCAGCAGTTGGCCGCTGACTCTGAGCCTGGTTCTGCTGGAGGTTTCTTCCTGATCAAAGGGAGTTTTTCCTCTCCACTGTCGCTACAAGCATGCTTAGTGTGAGGGATTGCTGAAGAGGCAATGAGGCGATGCAATCAGCTGGTTTTCCTTAGATAGAAAACTAACTGGATGATCTGGTGAACTGGAAAGTGCCTTGAGATGACATGATGAGTATTGGAGCTATAGAAATAAACTGAATAGAATTGAATTGAAACCTTTGGGGAATTTTTTCTACATTTCTTGCTGATTTTGTGGAAGTGGGATGGATAAAGTATGTGCTCAGGTTTAGACCACCCAGTTGTTATCCACGTCTTAAATTTTCCACCTTAAACTCTTGACTTGCTTTAAATCTGTAATCAGACCAACTAGTGGTATATATAGAAAGCCCCCAGGAGTTTCCTAATGCCGTGTTTCCAGTTCTGCTGTTTAATAATCAGAGAGGAGCAGACCTGGAAAAACTCCTATTTTTATTTTGTGTTTGTAGAAAAAAAAAGTCTAAAATCTTTGGATATTTTTTTTCCTTTTGTCTCTTCCGTCGTCACCTTTTAACTGCTCCTTAGCAGAGCTGACAGGAAGAAACAGCCAAATCCCAGAATGCAATGCAGTGAATCTCCTGTTCTTATTTATAAGAAAAATCTATTTAATCCAAACATACTTTATTAATCCCCCAAAAAGATCCTATCTCTGCCTATAGTGAATTACACATCTTGTAAAAATCAGAAACCTTCCATACGTTCCCGACCCCCCATATGACACTGAGCCGTCTAACGGTGACTACAGCTAAACTACTGACTTACTGCACTGAGTGTTTCTGGGGAGTGGTCCCGACAGGGGCAGCTCTGGTTAAGTTTTCCTCTGAAGATGTCCATGAGAGGCCAGTGCTGCTGCTGCTGCCGGGTTGGACACTGTGGCTGGGACTGATGGTCCAAGAGGCAGCAGGTGGAGCAAAGAGCGACGGAGCAGTTAGGAATCAGCTGCTGCTGAATTACAGCAAACTGCCTGAACCACCGGATGTGGCTCCTACAGTCTGAGTGGATTCTAATGGGAATCCTATTGGGGTTCCTTTAAGGACGAACTCGAATATTAAAGGAAAGTCCAATCATATTCAGAATTCAAACTTCTGAAAGTTCTTTAAATATCAAATTATTCCATCCTGTTCAATAAATGATCAG